TGTGTGTGTGTGTGTGTGTATGTGTGCACATGTGTGTATGCGTTTGCTTGTGTGTGCATGTGTGTTCGTTTGTTCGTGTGGGTGTACAGATATTCCATGACGCGAAGACTCAAAAGAGAACTGGTATAATTACCAAGGCTGAGACACTAAACTTTCGTAGACAGAAAGTTCTCCATTCATAGTAAATAGGAAGCTTACCCTTGTCGGGTTGAACTGATGAAGCGGCATACATGGTCCGAATGGATCCCACCAACTCTTTGCCATAGCGTTGAATTTATTGATCTCTTCGGCGTTGATTGATTTAGACTCGATCGACTCAGTAGTAAGCCCTGGATCGATAGCGTGTGCGAACCGAATTATTGTGTTGCGAGTCATTCTGTGGTTTTGAAGTCTTATGAGATCGCTCCGCATCGTACTAAGCGACCCGTTCTGACACAGGCGATAAACTGACATGGCTACACATTGACGATTGATAGCTTAAAATGAGACAAACTCGTCAGCTTCACCCCGTTATTTATACTTTCGTCATAAATAGCGGTTCATGGCGGCATTTTAGTAATTTTGCAAATTTTGGCATATTCATCGTTTATTGAGTATATTAATAGGGTCAAAACACGAGTCTGTCTAAGTGGCGTGATGAAGTCGGAAGCGCATATACTATTCGTAAAAGGTTGATATCATAGTTTACATGCAAGATCTTCGTTCGCCATACAATGAATAATTTTATTGTATAGAACAGTAGAGGTTTAACAATCCTTCCATACACTTTCTCCATTCTTTTTTCCCTGGTACTTTCGGGACTGCCCATACGTCGAGGCCGCGCTACTGCAGCCAGCGTTATCAGACGAAGACTTGTATTCTACACCCACAATCGCCTTGTTTTGGTCCCTGAAGCTGTTGTAATACCCACATTCGTTGTAGTCGTTGCATTCCTCTAGGACAGCCAGATCGAACGTGTTGACCAAAGAATCCACTAGAGCAGGGACATTCTTTTGTCCCGCACCCATACCGTAATCATGTGCAGTCTCGGCCAGAAACTTGCTGTAGTCGATTTGCGGCTGCTTCAGATCGCTGGAGTCCTTTCCACTGATACATTTATTCACATAGCAGTCTATCGGATAAAAAGGTAAAAAAGAATTCGGGCCAAACCGTTAAAAATGTTAATCACTAGGTCTGTAGTACCAATAGAATTATGCAGTACAGAGGCACTTCATGCAGTTGCGTGATCTTCAGTAGCAAGGCAGCAGTAAACCACAATGTCGCTACGATCACATCATCATCCTCGATTTCAAATATAAAACAGGTATTGGAGCGAAGTGGCGAAAAACTTACCCATATTGTCCATTTCAATACCATCGCACCCTTTGTCACGCGCCATCTTAAACCGACTTTCCATAAGTGGCCAGCAGGATTGATCGGTCATTTTGAACCAGCTGTGTGTGGGGAGGAAAGGATATGTATTATCTGTATCAGCCAGAGATTGCAACGCAAATATGGATATACGTGGACTTTCGCTCCAGTAGTCGACATAGAGCGGTACAGAATACAAGCATACTACAACATACAATATCGTTCATTAAAATTAGCATAGGTCACGTTCACCAGTATGTAACTACCGAGAGTGAGAAAATGAATTTAACATCCACACATACGTTTCACCTTCCCAGTCGGCCATGTCCAATCCTTTACAGTTGCTGGGGAAGTCATTTGCGTCAGGTCGCCAGCTTTCAATCGTTCCAACACTAATGTAGCAAAGGACCCAGTGGCCGTCGTCGTGCAAATCCTGGATATACGACTCTGACTTGTCAAACATGTCGACAGATACGATATAATGGTCACTTTGTACTTCATCCTTATAACCCCATGCCAGATTCGTCCATAAAGCTAGATTCTTGGGCATGGGCACTGCAGCTCTTTGTGTGGCCTCAGGGGTTGAACTACTCGAGGAGATAATCAGTGGGATTGCGATTGCGGATATACACGCCACACATAGACCAGCCCCCGCAATAATTTGGAATTTACGTTGTTTGTACCTGTGAATATCAAGAAGAGCATATAACTGTACAATCAGCTATGTGACAAGAAATACAAAAATTTGTATAGCATGCCGAAACATCAATCAGTACGCAGTGCGTGAAATGGTGCAAGAAGTGACTTGGTATGAGATCAAACACGGAGTGGATTGTATATATCGAACTAATACTTGCAAACATTCGCAACAAAACGTTGTCCTGTGGCCATACAAATATGACAAGCCGGGTCTTGGCGCAATGCACTGTGTGTTGACACTTACCATGGAATGAAGTCAGAAGACTCCAATTCATCATCCGTAAAAGCTAGATCTACAGTGGAGGTCGTGGACGACATTTTAGCAAAACAGCGCCTGCTTTCTTGTACAACAGGGGTAAAGTATTCAAATTTGGATATAAATGAACAAACCTACGAATATCGCACGTTATATAGCCCTCAAAATTTACATCACTGTAGTACTTCTGGGCCTGGCCAGCCGGCCAGGTCGGTTTACCTGATGTACTTTGTACAAATAGTACCAGTAAAAGTGAGAAAAAGCCCCCCCCCCTCCCCGGCCTCCCCCTTGGCTCCCCCCTGCTGGGGATAAAAACTTATGCGAGCACAATATTTATAATTTTATATGGGGTGTGCTACAGAAACACAAATGCTTCATTTGGCCCACAAGCCCCAGGCCCCCAGCAGTCCCACGACCCACATATAAATGAGCAGGGCATAGCTATGCTCATTTATGAGAATTGAGATATTTCTGATTAGCTAAAACTTGAAAGTCTCACAAATGACCAATGAGAACTTGTATTATTTAAGAAATTTTCATTGGCACCGAAGTGGCTTGAATTCTTCTACACAATAAAGCAAGAGATTTATAAATAAATATAAAGTTCTCTTTTTTTTGTAAAAATAATCAGCCTACGGCTGGCGCCTTGATTTTTTGACTGTGGGCTAAATAATTAAATATATATCTGCGAGACTGTGGGCCTGGCCGCGTGGGGCCGTGGGCCGTATTTAAGGCGTATATAGGCAGGCCCGCGGCCCCGTATTAAAAGGCGTAGGGAGGAATAAAGCGGTGAAGTCCAGACTCCTGAGTGGACCAGACTCCAGATTCCAGAAGTTTTCATATTATTCAGATAAAATAATTCACTATTTGTTTAGTCAAATAAGGTAATATTTTGTACAATGTCTTTTTTTTTTCTCGGTTGTTTTTACTTTTCATTTACAAAAATCTCCGACCAGACAGTTTACTTTATTTTTATTTTGAAATAGATGCACGATTGTACGGTGAACAGTTGAACTAAATACTGAACTTGAAGAGTTGAGCACGAGTATCAAAATGCAAACAATAGTCAGTAAATACTATTTAAAAAAAATACAAATACCATACGAAATGGTACAATCGGTTAAAAGTTACAACTGTCTATATTCATAGCCGTCAAAATTGAAAATTTGAAAACTATTTCTATAAAAATACATAATAATAAAATCGAGGTATTTATGTATGTACATATTTACACATATTTATTAACTGTACTGTAGTCTGTACTGACTACTGAGTCTGAGACTCTGAGGGGAATGAGCTATTTGGAAATTGAGAACCACTATGGAAATCCGGGTGCTTTGTACTGGAAAAACTGGATCAAATTGAGTTTTTGGAAATGTTCAGGGTAAATATATTATTCAAATTGGAATCTAGAATCTTTTAGGCGACTCCATCGGTATACCAGGCAATAAAGGGCATGGTCAAAAACTCATATTTTAACCCTGATTTTCTCACCAATATACCCAAAAAAAAAGGGCCAAAAGGGCGATTTGATGACAAAATCACCCCTTTTGGAACTATTTTTAGGTACATTGATAAGAATATCAGGGTTAAAATATGAATTTTTGATCATGCCCCTCATTGAGTCATTTGCCTGCTGGTATATGGACTTATGGAGTCGTGAACTCGTGATGCTAAAAAAAATACAAGATTTTTTAAATTCAAAAGGTCGATTTGATGACAAAATCAACCTTTTTGCGACTATTTTTAGTTACATTGAGAATAAAATCAGGGTTAAAATATGATTTTTTGAGCATGCGCCTTATTTGTCTGCTAGTATATTTACATATGGAGTGGTGAACTCCATGATGCTAAAAAAAACTAACACACACAAGACTGTCCACATAGCCTTCTGAGAATTAAAAACAGACAATTTGGTTTGTTTTGTTTTTTCTTCTTCTCAATATTTTTTGCAGTGATGTCAGTGTTCACACTCACACTGATGAGCCTCTGAGGTCTGAGGTCTGAGTGTCACACACACACACACTCTCTCTCTACTCTCTAGATGAGAGAGTAGAGTAGTCGTAGAGTAGTAGCCTGTAGACTCTCTCCAGAGAGTAGAGAGACTGAGAGACAGAGAGAGAGAGTCTCTCTACATATGTACATTCTACATACATACTATGTAAATAGATGATAGTACATAGAGAGTCTCTACTCTCTATACTAAATACATACTACTCTCTCTCTCTCTCTACTCTTAACTCTTTCACTCCCTCTATTCTTAACTCTCTCACTCTCTCTCTATACTATAGAGACTGAGAGAGAGAGTCTTCAGTTCTTCACTCTTCTGTCTCTCTTCAATGTCGTCACTCATCACTCATCACTCATCAAGTCATCAGGTGAGATGGATGTGATGAGTTGTCAGTTGTCTCAGTCTCTCCGGCAGACTCGCAAAGAAATAGTAGTATACCCATGTAACCTGGTACACATATATGTATATTGATTTTCATATATAAACCTGCTGGCATAGCCTTTTGTTCAATTTTATAGAAGGCGATGCTGCTGGCCTCAATACTTTCTGTACGCGAGTGTAACACTGTAACTGTCATTGTAAAACAACAAACACTGAATTTATATCATGCTTACTCATGTAGTTGTACATATGTATAATTTAAAGAAGGCTACGAGTTGTGCTTTCGGTCTGTACGCGAGTGTAACACTGGAACTGTCATTATAAAACAACAAGCACTAAATTTTATATCATGCTTGTTCATATAATTGTACATATGTCTAATTTAAACAAGGCCATTAGTTGTACTTTCGATACAATACAATGCCCTTTTCAAAAATATGGGATGCCTGCGGCTATAGAACGGAATGGCAGTACATATGTCATCCCTTGCTGACTACCTATCTCTATTAAATATGGAAACATAAATTTATCATTGATGTTATATATGTGGGTATGTATATGTGTATATGTGGGGATGTATATGTGTATATTTGTATATTATGTATTTATGAAAATAAGAATATATGTATATATGTGTATGTGTATATATGTGTATATGTATATATGTATATATATGTGAATATAATATAT